TGATCATTGACAGTCCTGCTAGATGAGGGTACCATCTTCAGCAGCCCCATTTTGGAGAGTCCTGAATTTCTTCCTTGTGGTGTAGTCGAGTGCCACAAAGCAGTGACTTTTTGAGAGTAGGTTGATCAGGGATTCAGTGGTGAATGATCGAGTTGAGTCGCAGGTGAACTTGACTGTCCCGTTGTGGAGGAGTTGAATAATTTCTGGAGTGTACATTGCGTTCTCATTCTGGATGGTTGTGTAAAAGTATACACCAGGCAAGCAATGGACTTCTTGTGAAGGAGTGGCGGTAGTACGTAGGGATGCATCCCAAGGCTCTTATGTTTTAACCTTCTTGGCTGGCGGCTGAGACGTTTGAGGTGAGGCGTCTGATTGGTCCGTTGTGACGGAAGTGGAAACAGGTGCTGGTGGACTCTTATTGGTGGAATCGGTCGGCGTCTCAGTGGTCTCTGATTGGTCCATCTCTGTGTCGGGAGGAAGGTGTGGTAGCGGTGGAGCAGCGGTAATGTTGGAGACATTTGCAGTGGATTTTATGATCTCTGTGGAAGGTGGAGATGCAGGGAATGTGAAACCAGGCATGTTGTTGAGCTTGAAGAGTTCGTTGATGGTGGTGTTGAAGGAACCAGGTTCAGCTACATTCTGCACATGAGCATACATAATGCAGTAAAGAATCTTGGTGGAGTCGCCAGCAAGAGCTGGCGAAGAAGTGGTAGATGCAGCTTGCGTGGCTTGAAGAATCTTGGTAGTATCTGCTTGAAGCTTGGTAATAGCAGCATATGTAGTCGCTTGTGCAGTGAGTTTTTTTTTTTTTTTTTTTTTTGTTGGAGTTGTTTCTTAAGTATATCTCGTCTGGTTGGGCACTTGGCAGCAAGAGTATGGTGATCATTCTTGCAGTTCAAGCATTTAGGTGGAGAGTCAGTAGTGCACGTCTTGAAGTCATGACCTTCTTGGCAGCAGGTGGAGCAGAACTTCTTATTCTTGGCAGGGCAGTCTTTGGTGGTATGAGTAACAGTAGGAACACTGTGGAATTTGATGGAATTTTTCTACTTCGATGAAGGCTGGATTGATGTGGAAGTAGTGAATAGCCAGTCCCTCAGCGAGAGCTCTGGCTGCCATGTTGACGTCACTGAAGGTGACCTTCAGCATGGAGGAGGCATTGGGTATTTTGGTAATGAATTCCACCTTGGCAAGTTCTGTGCTTCAATGGGCGACTTGATTTCTTCGGTAGCCTGGGCAGTGATGAGCTTGTCGAGTCTCTTGAGGAACACAGTTCTCCTGGTCCTCAGAGCTGGGGAAGTCAAGACAATAAATCCCTGATCTCGTAGAGTGGTTGTAGCAGTGGTGGTAATGAGTTTTTCAGCCTCGGTGTCGTCAGTACAGACGACAACGAAGGCCTCTTTGAGCGAGAGAATCGCATTGAACTTGACTTGCAGTCTGCCACTGACGACAGCTGCAAGTGCTAGCTTAGACGAGTCACTGACTCTCCCACTCTCTTTGATCTTACCCTGTTCGAGAAGTGCATCGTGAAGTGTGGTCTGCTACGCTGTGTTGAGATCTACCTGGGGTGGAAGGTACGCGAGTATTTATAGTCAGGTTCAGAATGCTGAGGTCAGGTGGAGAATGCTACATCTGATGATGTACCGAGTGGAGTTATAGAGTCTAAAATCTTGGGTAGCTTGGAAGGGAGATTGGATAAGTTTGTGAGCAGACCTTCTGCAGTGTTCTTCCATTCCTATGCTCTTATGTGGGATAGCGATGAAGAAGTTTCTTGGCAAGTGGTTCAGCTATGTTATAGAAGCCACTATTCTGGTTGAAGTTGTCGGATATAGAAATAAGTGATGATTCCAGGATTCTTCGGTATTGAGTGTTGTCTTCTGTGGCGATAAGTCTTGAGTTTCTGTAGTTTATCAAGTGGTTGTGTGAATTACGGCGTTGTACACAGGCATTCCTTGTATCGTCAGTCCTGCTTGCGTATTGGTGTTCTTAAATACGTGTTTGGAGGTCCCTTGATGTTTTGCCCACGTATAATTTGTTGCAGTCATTACAAGGGATTATGTATACCCCTGCAGAGGGTGGAAGCTTGTCCTGTCTATCACTGGTAATGTCCTTGTGAGCAGAAAGTCTGCTCACAAACTTATCCAATCTCCCTTCCAAGCTACCCAAGATTTTAGACTCTATAACCCCACTCGGTATATCATCAGATGCAGCATTCTCCACCTGACCTCAGCATTCTGAACCTGACTATAAATACTCGCGTGCCTTCCACCCCAGGTAGATCTGTTTGTGATTTGAAAAAGCCCACTGTGTGGGCGAAACGTTGTCAACAAAGGATCACATTATACTAAATATGTGTTTATATTTCCACCTGTGTAGATGCCCTCAACTGCTGCGTCTCTCCTGCCTCTGATTTAAATTGATCAAAGCTAGGGGACTGAGCACGTACCAGAGCAGAGGGACTGATTACCTCATCTTGCTCTGTCTCCAGGGTGATATCACTGTTTTGAATGGAAAATATATCAATGATTGGCGAAACGTCTTCTTGAAAAAGATAACCAGGTGTTGTACATGTGTCTTATACAGGAAGTCTGTCTTCTACAGCTGTACACGGAGACTGCTACAGCTGCACAGGAGACTGTCTGTTACAGCTGCACAGGAGACTGTTACAGCTGCACAGGAGACTGTTACAGCAGCACAGGAGACTGTTACAGTTGCACAGGAGACTGTTACAGCTGCACATGAGACTGTTACAGCTGCACAGGAGACTGCTACAGCTGCAGAGGAGACTGTCCGTTACAGCTGCACAGGAGACTGTTACAGCTGCATAGGAGACTGTCCGTTACAGCTGCACAGGAGACTGTTACAGCTGCACAGGAGACTGCTACAGCTGCACAGGAGACTGTTACAGTTGCACAGGAGACTGTCCGTTACAGCTGCACAGGGACTATTACAGCTGCACAGGAGATTGTTACAGCTGCACAGGAGACTGTTACAGCTGCACAAGAGACTGCTACAGCTGTACAGGAGACTGTTACAGCTGCACAGGAGACTGTTACAGCTGCACAAGAGACTGCTACAGCTGTACAGGAGACTGTTACAGCTGCACAAGAGATTGTTACAGCTGCACAAGAGACTGCTATAGCTGCACAGGAGACTGTTACAGCTGCGCAGAAGATTGTTACAGCTGCACAGGAAATTGTCTGTTACAGCTGCACAGGAGACTGTTACAGCTGCACAGGAGACTGCTACAGCTGTACAGGAGACTGCTACAGCTGCACAGGAGACTGCTACAGCTGCACGTGACACTGTTACAGCTGCACATGACACTGTTACAGCTGCACATGACACTGTTACAGCTGCACAGGAGACTGCTACAGCTGCACAGGAGACTGTTACAGCTGCACTGGAGACTGTTACAGCTGCACAGGAGACTGTTACAGCTGCATAGTAAACTGCTACAGCTGCACAGGAGACTGTTACTGCTGCACAGGAGACTGTTACAGCTGCACAGGAGACTGTTACAGCTGCACAGGAGACTGTTACAGCTGTACAGGAGACTGCTACAGCTGCACAGGAGACTGTTACAGCTGCACAGGAGACTGTTACAGCTGCACATGACACTGCTACAGTTGCACAGGAGACTGCTACAGTTGCACAGGAGACTGCTACAGCTGCACAGGAGACTGTTACAGCTGCACATGAGACTGTTACAGCTGCACAGGAGACTGTTACAGCTGCACATGACACTGTTACAGCTGCACAGGAGACTGTTACAGTTGCACAGGAGACTGCTATAGCTGCACAAGAGACTGTTACAGCTGCACATGACACTGTTACAGCTGCACAGGAGACTGTTACAGTTGCACATGACACTGTTACAGCTGCACAGGAGACTGCTACAGCTGCACATGACACTGTTACAGCTGCACAGGAGACTGCTACAGCTGCACAGGAGACTACTACAGCTGCACAGGAGACTGTTACAGCTGCACAGGAGACTGCTACAGCTGCACAGGAGACTGTTACAGCTGCACAGGAGACTACTACAGCTGCACAGGAGACTGCTACAGCTGCACATGACACTGTTACAGCTGCACAGGAGACTGTTACAGCTGCACAGGAGACTGATACAGCTGCACATGAGACTGTTACAGCTGCACAGGAGACTGTTACAGCTGCACAGGAGACTGTTACAGCTGCACAGGAGACTGTTACAGTTGCACATGACACTGTTACAGCTGCACAGGAGACTGCTACAGCTGCACATGACACTGTTACAGCTGCACAGGAGACTGCTACAGCTGCACAGGAGACTACTACAGCTGCACAGAAGACTGTTACAGCTGCACAGGAGACTGCTACAGCTGCACAGGAGACTGTTACAGCTGCACAGGAGACTACTACAGCTGCACAGGAGACTGCTACAGCTGCACAGGAGACTGTTACAGCTGCACAGGAGACTGTTACAGTTGCACATGACACTGTTACAGCTGCACAGGAGACTACTACAGCTGCACAGGAGACTGTTACAGCTGCACAGGAGACTGTTACAGTTGCACATGACACTGTTACAGCTGCACAGGAGACTGCTACAGCTGCACATGACACTGTTACAGCTGCACAGGAGACTGCTACAGCTGCACAGGAGACTACTACAGCTGCACAGGAGACTGTTTCAGCTGCACAGGAGACTGTTACAGCTGCACAGGAGACTGCTACAGCTGCACAGGAGACTGCTACAGCTGCACAAGTACGGTGGTGTTGGTGATAGCACTGATGACGCACACACTATAATCAACTTAATTTTAACATTAATTATACTATAGTTACATGTTTCAGGAGAGCTCACTGTAAAGTTAATCTCTCTCTCTCTCTCTCTCTCTCTCTCTCTCTCTCTCTCTCTCTCTCTCTCTCTCTCTCTCTCTCTCTCTCTCTACAACAACCAGCACTGTACAGCAAGAAGCCCCCACACCCTGGAGACCCCGTCAGTAAATGGAACACACCCGGCCTACCAGTATCAGAGAGCTTGGAAGTTGAGGAAGATTTCTTGGACAGACCTAACGTCTGACCCTGCTTGCCGCCTCCGCCTCCGCCGCCGCCGCCGCTCCTCCTGCCACGCTCCTTGTTCTCCACCGACAGCATCCCCGTGGCAGAGTCACTCAGGCTTCCATCTGCAGGCAACACGATATCAATACCCGGCCGTAAGAGAGGGCAACCTGCAGCGCGCACGCCAGAACAATAACACCAGCTCCTGCGCGTGCAGTCGGAACATAAATCGTTCACAGGTGGGTTGGCAGGTGTCACAGGTGGGTTGGCATGTGTCGCAGAGAATGGGTTCTCTGTTTTTTTTTTCTCAGTATAAACGCTACAATATTAAGAGTGTTTTATGTAAATGATTATTTATTAGTTAAATACTTTCCTTTTGTGTGTGTTTATTCTGTGGGTGGATTTTATTAAATGATTCTCATCTTCTGGCTTATAATCTAGTGTATATATATATATATATATATATATATATATATATATATATATATATATATATATATATATATATATATATATATATATATATATATATATATATATATATACTGTAGTTTTCTCATGCAAGATAAACTGATTTTAATTCTTAGAAAGTTTTAAGTGTGCTGAGATATTTAGTGTTCACAGTTAATTTGTATAATACAAAGTGGTGGTGATGTAGGTGGAAGAAGTGGTGGTGGTGGTGGTAGCTGCCACCGGTAGTGGTGGTAGTGGTGGTAGTAATAGTATTAGCTGCAACCAGTGATGGTGGTAGACTACGGTAGACAAGTGTGAGGGAAGGGGGGGGGGGATAGATGGTCTTACTTCTAAAAACAGTAATATTATCAACTCTCCAGATCTTGAAGGCAAGACAGATGAGTTTAGGCAGTTACTTTAAAGAGGTAATATATTATTTTCTTCCTTTCCTTCTTACACTGAACTCACTTCGAAAGAATATTAGTTTTTTTTTTCGTTTTTTTTTTCTCTCTTTACACAGAATTTAAGCAAATACATCAATGAATATGACTTTTTTTTTCTCTCTCCTACAGTGAGTTACTAGAAGTTATCACGTCCCTACAGTAACCAAGACTAGGGAAGGTATCACGTCCCTACAGTAACCAAGACTAGGGAAGGTATCACGTCCCTACAGTAACCAAGACTAGGGAAGGTATCACGTCCCTACAGTAACCAAGACTAGGGAAGGTATCACGTCCCTACAGTAACCAAGACTAGGGAAGGTATCACGTCCCTACAGTAACCAAGACTAGGGAAGGCATCACGTCCCTACAGTAACCAAGACTAGGGAAGGTATCACGTCCCTACAGTAACCAAGACTAGGGAAGGTATCACGTCCCTACAGTAACCAGGACTAGGGAAGGTATCACGTCCCTACAGTAACCAAGACTAGGGAAGGTATCACGTCCCTACAGTAACCAAGACTAGGGAAGGTATCACGTCCCTACAGTAACCAAGACTAGGGAAGGTATCACGTCCCTACAGTAACCAAGACTAGGGAAGATATCACGTCCCTACAGTAACCAAGACTAGGGAAGGTATCACGTCCCTACAGTAACCAGGACTAGGGAAGGTATCACGTCCCTACAGTAACCAAGACTAGGGAAGGTATCACGTCCCTACAGTAACCAAGACTAGGGAAGGTATCACGTCCCTACAGTAACCAGGACTAGGGAAGGTATCACGTCCCTACAGTAACCAAGACTAGGGAAGGTATCACGTCCCTACAGTAACCGAGACTAGGGAAGGTATCACGTCCCTACAGTAACCAAGACTAGGGAAGGTATCACGTCCCTACAGTAACCAAGACTAGGGAAGGTATGTTGCAACCCCTGAATGGGTTGCAATGATTATTATGTATATATATAATTATTACCTTTTCATTTAATTTTATATTGCTTATATTTGCGATAATAGCTAAATCGTAAATGTATTGCTTTATATTGTTATTTGACGTAGTTATGTTGTTAGGTAGGATGTAACATATTATGTGCTCAGTTCAAGTCTTGATTGTCTAACTACTGTAATTATCGCTCTTTGCTCTTTATTCTGCCGGCTTCTGAGCTGCAGTTGTCCACGGAGCTATCACGTGATCGAGGGGGGGTGTCCTCACCTCGCCTGAAGTATTCAGTCTGCTCTAGACTCTCTTGGAAGTTGGACAGATTGTCTGTCTCATTATTCTTGTTAGTTCTGTAGAACTCTGTTCACAGAACCTTGTATAGACTTAGTGATTTTCGACGTTGTACTGAGGTTGTGTGTCTCATAGACACTCTGAGTAACTCAGGTCCTGAACTCTAGCTTATGACCTAATTTGTACTGGTTTCTGTGTATTATCACAGTCGGGGATTTTCTTATGCTGAACTTAGATTCAGTAGTATGGGAGTTTTGTAACTTTTGTGGAGGATCTGCTGATGGTCCCTACTTAGTGTCGTTATATTATCTCCTTGTTCCTGATTCTGTGTCGCAGTTGCTTGTTGTATTGCTATTGGGCTTAGCATTCTTTTTGTTGTTCAAGCAGACTGTTCTGGTTGCCAGTCGGTCAAGAAGTTAGTTTATTAGAGGACTTTGTCAGTCACTTGTTTAAGTCTAGTCGAGTCGTGAGACAGAGAACTACTTAGAGCACTTACACACATACACAAACTTACTTGTACATATTTGTAATATCTTATTAAATGTTAATGTACCAGATGGTACTTAAGAATTATAAATGTGATATGTGCTTTCAGCACAATAATATTAAACTCGAGAGAAGTGATATTATTTTGATTACTGTGATTAATTTAATTTAATTTAATTTGACAATATACCTCTAGACAACTTAATGATTAATAAATTTATTAAATTTTAATTTCTCTAGTTAGTAGCGTACCAGTTGTAATCCTGAAGCACTATTGAATCTTACTGAATTCTTATGGATAATTGGACAAGGATACTGACTACTTGTTACGAAAACCCAGTAACAGGCTGGATGCTAGAAGGGCAGTCCTTTCTAGTATTCACTGGAGATCTCTAAGCTTTTAGAATCGCGTTTTTTGTAACAAGGTATCACGTCCCTACAGTAACCAAGACTAGGGAAGGTATCACGTCCCTACAGTAACCAAGACTAGGGAAGGTATCACGTCCCTACAGTAACCAAGACTAGGGAAGGTATCACGTCCCTACAGTAACCAAGACTAGGGAAGGCATCACGTCCCTACAGTAACCAAGACTAAGGAAGGTATAACGTCCCTACAGTAACCAAGACTAGGGAAGGTATCACGTCCCTACAGTAACCAAGACTAGGGAAGGTATCACGTCCTCACAGTAACCAAGACTAGGGAAGGCATCATGTCCTCACAGTAACCAAGATTAGGGAAGGTATCACGTCCCTACAGTAACCAAGACTAGGGAAGGTATCACGTCCTCACAGTAACCAAGACTAGGGAAGGCATCATGTCCTCACAGTAACCAAGATTAGGGAAGGTATCACGTCCCTACAGTAACCAAGACTAGGGAAGGTATCATGTCCCTACAGTAACCAAGACTAGGGAAGGCATCACGTCCCTACAGTAACCAAGACTAGGGAAGGTATCACGTCCCTACAGTAACCAAGACTAGGGAAGGTATCACGTCCCTACAGTAACCAAGACTAGGGAAGGTATCACGTCCCTACAGTAACCAAGACTAGGGAAGGTACTCATCACCTTGGACTCTGTAATACGAGTCAGAGACAATATCTACAGTTTAGCTACACAATCCACTACAGGAATTTATACTATGATACAGTACTCAACCTGCATTACTTAAGAGCAAATGGATGAGGGGTGTTATGCAGTCACTGGGAATTATTTACTCTAAACTTGCCACACTATCATCACTTGCACTGTAATGCCACGCTTTGCTAAGGGAAATAAAATAGCAAGCTTTTATGAAAAAAAATCTGCAGGTACTGTATGACCCTCACGGGTATAGCGCCTCTTTGTAAATATAATAACTTTTTGGAAAGCGTCGTATCAAAAGCGGAAATTGACTGAATGAACACATTTTTGTGAAAATAATAGTAATAATAATAATAATAATAATAATAATAATAATAATATTATTATTATTATTATTATTATTATTATTATTATTATTATTATTATTATTATTAAACCGACCATGGGTATTGTTAAAGCATCATTAAACGGTAACTTTGAAAGATAATGTTACATTTAGATTCTGAATTAGTTTAACTACAAAAAGTTTGGGAATTGAAAAAAGCATAAATCTGCTGAGAGCGTCGATCAAGGGTAATAACCCAAGGCACGAATTAACGATAAACAGTTATTATAACGTAAGAAACGAACCCGGATACTATGAGATCTGAACCACCAATGAGTATTAGGTATTAGGCATAAAGTAAACTAATTTGTGAAGAAAAAATTAATGCTAGAGACATTTCGACGTATTAATCGTGTAATATGAGTGTGTGTGCGTGTGTGTGCGTGTGTGTGCGTGTGTGTGCGTGTGTGTGTGTGTGTGTGTGTGTGTGTGTGTGTGTGTGTGTGTGTGTGTACGAGCGTGTGGTCATTTATGTATTCGTCCGATCACGATCACGGACATCATTTGTGTGAAATCTGGGTTAGCGAGCCAGACTACCTTTCCAGAGTCCGCTTCACGTTACGTCTGATCTTCCTGGCTGGCGAGTCGGAGGGGGTTGACGGGGCAAGAAACCTGACACTTGAAGAGAATCTAGATAACGTTCCTACTGTCGGAAGATGCAGACAAAACCTGTGTACACGTAAACACATTTGCCAGCCATGATGAAAGTCCTCTCATTCCATGGCTAAGAGATTCTCAGTTGCCAGAGGAATAGCGAATAAAATGAAAAGTTAAATTGTCGTAGCCTTGGGCAGGTATAGCAGGCCAGGAGGAAAAAATGCTAAAGTGGATTAAGTAAAACGTGCTGAATGAAAACATTGGCTAAGTAAACAGAAGCTGAAAGCAATGGTCTCAGAACCAATAGAAGAAAAATATTCGGTATGAGAGAATGCACATTATGGAATCACACACGTACCTTATAACCAGAGGCTGTATACATAAATATATCTGTTCTAAACAGTACAGAGATAATGGTGGATCTATAGGAAGGAGGAATGAGATTAAGTGAAGACAGGGGAGACTGTTGACTGTTTACCCTGGAAGAGAAACAACATGGTGAGCACTACTGAGGCAGGAGGGTTAGTGGTGGCAGCAGCAGGGTAGTGTGGTGGTGGTGGTGGCACTACAGCTGGTGGGCGGTGGTGGTGGTGGCAGTGGTGGTGGAGGCAACAAGCGAGTACTGAGTGGCTGGGTGGGTGACGGTGGCGCCCACCAGTTCCCCTTCTTACCCAACTTGACGTCGAGGGAGTCCATGATGGAGACTCCTGCCACGGCCTCAGGGGGGGTGGTGGAACCCTCTGCGCTGCACTCTCCCTCGGGGCACTCCTCCTCCACCTCATCCTCCTCCTCCACCTCTTCCTCCTCCACCACCTCGCCCTCCTCACAGCCCTCTTTCGTTTCGCCACTTTCCTCCACTACTCCCTCCACTTCCTCAATCACGCTTTCTTCTTTCCCTTCGCCTTCGGGTTTGTCTCCTCCTCCCTCACCTTCCTCCTCTGGACGCCATGCGGGAAGGGGCAGGACGAGGGAAGGGGTGGAGGAGGATCCAGGGAAGGGTATGGGGAGATGGGAGGAGCAGAGAGCGCACGAGTAAGAATGTGAGAGCCAGTGGAACTGCTCGCGTGTCAACAAACCAGGCACAACTAGCTACATCCTCATGCATAATTCAGTATTTCAGTCAGAAAAAAAAAACAGAATTTGTCATTTTAGCAGAGCAATTGAAATGAGTAATTTATTGAAAAAATGACAATGCAATCGTTGAATAACAAATGCACATTATTAAAGACTACAAATTGTAACAAAAAGGATAAATCGGTTACTATTTTAGGGAGGGAGGGAGTGGGGAAGATGACAAAGAAATCGGGAGGTGGTCGTCAGGCAGAGAGGTCACTGACGCGGAGGGGGAATAAAGTTGACAAAAAACATTAAAGGCGGAGACAGAGGCATGTTAGAAGCTGGAGCTGCTGCCCACATCCTGTTATGAGGAACGGGGGAGGACAAGTGAGACAGAGGACACGGGGGGGTAGAGCAGCGGAGGCGGACATGCCAGGCAGGTCAACGTACCAGCTTTTTCCGTCTCGGGGACCTCGCTGGTGGAGAGGCTCCTGCCCAGCTGACCGCGTTTACTTGCCCCGCCGTAGCTGCCTCCCGCGGGCCCATAGGCGGTGATCCGTTGGCTAAACTCACTAGCAGGATTAGAAGAAGGGTCTACATCAGCGTCTGCGCGAGGCTCCGTACTAGGGGGACTATTGGCGTCAAATTCAAAGTACTCAGGGTGCTCATTAATACTAACTGAGGAACTGTGGCGAACTCGGGATGTTAAGGGTCTGTCTGTGTCAGGGATATCTCCTTCAACTACGTCTGCGTCAGTGAGGTACTGAGGACGGGACTCTGCTACATTATAGGATGGGTCTGCAAAAGTCTCGTGGGTATTAAACGTGTGGGCGTGGGTGGTGTTAGAAGGGTGGGCGTGGGTGATGACAGTAGGGTGGGCGTGTGCATGAGCGAGGTCGTGAGGGTGCGGGGGGTGCGGGTGAGAAGCACTGTCGCGTCGGTCTTGCGGTCTCCGAGGGTCGTGGTACGTGAAGATGGGGTCGTAGTCGGCAGCGGCGGGGTACCGTTTGCTGCATCGAGGGTCCTGGGCGTGGTGAGGGTCTCTGTACCTGCCTTTCTCTCCCTCGTAAGGCTCTACAAAGTGACCATCAAGGATGTAAATCTTTCGATCTCTCAGGTCCTTTCTGCTGTTCTTAATGTCGTAGTACCTCCTGGCATCGACCTCACTGTAGCCCTCGGGAGGAGGGCCTCTGCGATAGCCTCGCTCATATTCGTCGCCCTCTCGGTACACATCGATCTTCACTGGCCCCTGGTTCCTGTACCTAACATGGTCCAGCGAGAGAGAGCTTCTGTAGCGCTCTCTATCCACGGAGGCATGGTCTCTGTACCCTCTGTAACTTGCATCAGCAGTCACTGTACTCTGGCGTCTGTATCTCTCCTTTTCTATGGCCCCTTGTTCCCTGTGCCTCTGCTTCTGCACTGCGCCCTGTTCCCTGTACCTGGCCTCGACCCCCGCATCATGTTCCCTGTATCTTTCTTCGTCTAGGTGGTGGTCATCCCTATACCTACCTCTCGTCACAGGCAGAGGTTCCTGGTACCTGTCTCTGTTGATGAAGATATGTTCACGGTACCTGTCATCGTCTCTGGGGTCGTGATCATGATATCTCCCCTCGTCTTTTGGATCTTGCTCCCGATACCTTCTTTCACCTCGCAGGTCTCTCAAATCTCTAGGGTCAATGTCTCTTGGGTCTCTCTGTTCATGTTCTCGATACCTGCCCTCATCTACCGGGATTCTCGGGTCTGGCTCGCGATATCTCTCATCATCTAACGAGTCTCTTGAGTCCGGTTCTCGAAACCTAATTTCAGTTGATGCGTCTCTCGGATTTAGCTCTCTATATCTGCCTTCATCTGTTGGGTCTAGCTCTCGATACCTGTCTTCATCTACTGGGTCTCTTGGTTCTGGCTCTCGAAACCTGCCTTCATCTACTGACTCTCTTGGATTTAATTCTCTATATCTATTGTCATCTGGTGGCTCTGGTTCTCGATATTTTCTCCCATCTCTAAGTTCTCTTCTTTCTTGCTCTAAATACCTACATTCATCTACTGAGTCTCTTGGGTCCTGTTCTCGATATCTCCCATCATCAACAGGACCCTGGTCTCGATGTCTCCTCTCGTCTGTTGTTTCCGGCTCGTGATACCTTCTCTCATCTATAACGTCGTGTTCTCTGCGTCTGCCTTGATCCCCCAAGGCAGATCTGCTGTACCTTCTCTGTTCGTGATATTTTTGCTCCTCCGCCTGCTGAGCGTCGTAATTGTTGTCGTAGTCGTGTGGGGCGCCTTCAGGGTATCGTTCGATGTCGTCCATAGGTCGAGTGGCATCGCGCCTCCTCTGTTCCATAGGAACAAATACATCTTCGGAGCTGCATGGCTCGTATTTCTGTGCACCGCCACCTTCATACACATGAAGACTTCTGCTCGGCTCCAGTGGTCTGTCCTCAAGTTGTCTTCTGTCTTCAACTGGTCTTCTGTCTTCCAGCGGTCTCCTGTCCTCTAGAGGTCTTCTGTCTTCAATCGGTCTCCTGTCTTCTAGAGGTCTTATATCTTCCAACAATCTCCTGTCTTCCAGAGGCGCCTCATCCACAATAGATTCGCGAAGAACACTATACCTACGCTCCCGCTCTTCTCTGGACGGTTTCCAACTCATCTCTAACTGAAGGCTTTTACTCGGATCCCTCAAAAGAGAACTCTCAGTGTTTGCTCTAATAAATGTCCTGCGAGGCTGTGAGGCAGTAGTTGGGCGCCGAGCTCTTGGAAGCGTCTGGCTACATCCTTCGTGCATGTCTTGTAGCGATTTAGCGAGGAACTCATCCGTCATAGCACGGCCCTGCTGTCCCAGTGTTCGCTGGTCTACTCTACTGAACTCTGGATTCAGGTCTCTCTGATCCACCTGCTCTAAACTGAAGGAGCGGTCCAGAGAGCGGTCCGGAAGAAAGACCTCCGTCTCTGCCCCGCTGTAATCAGAATCGTACCCGTAGTAAGTTCCCGCGCTGTGACCGTCTGCGAGGCGAGTGGAGCTCCTCCGGCGGTACATAGACCGGAGGCTTTCGGGCGTAGGCGCCGCCGCCTCCGGGTTTTGAGCCTGGCTGTAACCGTCAGGAGGAGCCCGAGACTTACTTATATAGGAGTCCTGCATGTCTTCCCTTACCACTAAATCTGACTCATAAGGCACTGATTTATCAATTGAAAGTGAGCTTCGTGACATGGCAGAAGGGTCCTGGACCCTTTGTTTGGACAGAACTTCATCCTCGTACGTGACGGTCTTTTTAGGGTGAGTTCGCAGCACCAGATCGTCCCGGGTCAGAGACCTAGACCGAACTCTATGACCCTCCTCCCTCAGTGCATGACCTACTCCCCAGTAATCTGTCTCAGGGTCGTGAGGAACGAACCACCGACGGTCGTTCTCTCCCAGGCTGCGACTCTTCTGTAGACGATGCTTCGCGCGAGGCTGCTGCTGCTCCTGCTCCTGCGCCACGCTGACCACAGTATTGCTGCGCATCAGAGCTCGCGGTAGCGGATGCTGTCGCCGGCGCACGGCCAGATGAGGGGCGCTCCTGGATACGCCCGCAGCCACGCCCATAGAAAGAGAACGCTTGAGCACAGGGGGTGGGCGTATGGGGCTGAGGGAGCGCATAGAGATGTCAAGCAAGCTACAAGACGGGTCCCGACCCATATGGTGGTTGTAGTCAGTGTCAAAGTCAGTCGCCAGTGGGGACTGGTCCAAGGTACCGTCACAGCCATGAGTGTCGCTCTTCAAGCTACTCAGGTGCCGCCTACTGCTCGGGGGAAGGAACGGGTTAGGTATGAGAAGAAAAAGAAAGAGAGGAACAACGAATTAGTTGACCTGATGGGGGAAGAGGATAGAGTTTAAGAGTAAGAATACAACAAAGTGAAATGAGTGAAGAAGTGAGAGAAGCAAAAGATAAATATAAATTAACTAACATTAAAAACATACAATGAAACCTGTCAGCATTAAAAAAATGTCTCTTAAAATTACATATTATTAAACATATTCCTGAGGTATACAACTGTAAGATGAAAAATGTTAATGATACATAAACATAAGTATCTTGAGTGTAAATTAAGACAAACGACGCGGGTTATGGCATTTTACCGTAAAGACGTTTCGTGAAACCACAAGAGTCCCTGCTGGGCGAAACGTCTTCACAATAAAATAAAGCCACAACCGAGCTACTGTATTTTAGTTCCATACAGCCAGTACACTCTGCCACTTTATTACCATGTATCTTCGAGTTGACAGTCATGCTAACATCACCTTTCATTAACCTCATGATGCAAGGAAAATGGATCAACCCTTCCAAGAAGTAATCCTACTTATTCTCCAGTTCCCAGGCGATGTGTGGCCGGGCCCTACAGATTTAACGTTGTTGAATAACCTTAACTTTCTGATTAGATTGTTATATGGCAGGGTTAAAAACAATCTACCATCAGGATGTGATAAGCCAAGACAACTCAGTGACTTAATTATATTATATATTATATATTATATATAATATATATATATATATATATATATAACTATATATATTATTTTTATATATATATATATATATATATATTATACACGTATTATATATTACCATATAATCACTAACGTCCGTATAATCACTAACGTCCGTAGAACCACTAATGTCCGTAGAATCACTAACGTCCATAGAATCACTAACGTCCATAGAACCACAAATGAACGTCGAACCACCAATGTCCGTAGAGCCACTAACGTTCATAGAACCACTAACGTCAGCAGAACCACTAACGCTCATGGAGCCACTATCGCCCGTAGCACCACTAATGTCAATAGATCCACTAACGTCCATAGCACCACTAACGTCAGCGGAACCACTAACGTCTGTAGAGCCACTAACGGGACAACCAGAGATTCCCTACACAGCTTCTTCCAGAGCGGTGCCTTGACCCTAGTACAGGGATCAAGGCTCCAAGATATGAGATTCGTCCACCTTTCAGATCACACATCATTATCTCCCATTTCCCACAACATGTACGACCCCTTAAGGAAATGATAATATGTAAACTTGTTAAAGGTTTAAACAAACCGGAAGTTTACTTTAGGTATTCAACTTTAGGTATTAAAGTATTCTCGAGTGGTGGTGGTGAACAGGTGACATGCAGCCTTAATGAACCTTTTGTGGTAGATAGGCTTTAAACCTGAGAAACCAGAGGTGCACAGGAAAGAACCCTTTCCTCTGCCTATAATAACCTTAATGACCCTTAATGACATCGCCAGTCATTAAGTGAGCACTGAACGTAATTAGCGTTCAGAGAACGCCATTCAGCGTTCATTAAGTCACAGTAATAACATACATACATTTACCAGCTGGAAAAAAAATCACAATGATACAAAAAAATGGGTCATTGAATTTAAAGAATTTTGATTTTGTCACGCCAGGTTTTGAAAAATAAAACAAAGGTTTATCTGGGTTTATACTCGCTGAGTATGAGGCCTAACGAACCTTTGGTTTATTTCCAAAACAGCCTCCCTCTCTTAGAGAACTGTGTGGGGAGGATATAGGTGTATGGGGAGCCTCTCTATGGGATATTATAAGTGTATGGTGAGCCTAGCCTATGTACAGTATGTGGAGACTACCTGTATGGGAAGCCTATGACTGTATGGCGAGCCTATGACTGTATGGCGAGCCTGTAAGTGTATGGCGAGCCTATGACTGGGGAGCCTATAACTGTACGGGGAGCCTATGACTGTATGAGAAGCCTATGTAGTCATTTAAGTATAAGTAGACATAATAATACTTCCAAGTATGGAATTGGAACCTATGTACTTACAGAATGTTAGGTACCTACTTATATCCCTACAGTATGTTAGGAGCCTACGGACTTATAATATTTTTCGGAGCCTATATCTTTCCAGTATGTTAGGAACCTATACACTCAGTATGTTAGGGCTCCACACTTCTCTGATAGTACCCTATACACTTGTCTAAGGACTATTTGGACTTATCTAAGGCTCTACGAATTTGTGTAAAGACTCTATCGACTCGTGTAAAGATTCTGTGCACTTAGATGAGAGACTTTTTAAGCATTATTTTTTACATACAAATGTTATGAGCAGGTGTGACGTGAATAACTAATTAAATATTATCTGAAGAGCCTACAGGTGCATAAGGAGCCTAAACAGGAGCATGAGGAGAGTAAACAGGTGCGTGAGGAGTCTAAACTGGTGCTTGAGGAGAGTAAACAGGTGCGTGAGGAGTCTAAACTGGTGCTTGAGGAGAGTAAACAGGTGCGTGAGGAGTCTAAACTGGTGCTTGAGGAGAGTAAACAGGTGCGTGAGGAGTCTAAACTGGTGCTTGAGGAGAGTAAACAGGTGCGTGAGGAGTCTAAACTGGTGCTTGAGGAGAGTAAACAGGTGCGTAAGGAGCATAAACAAGTGCGTAAGAAGCATAAATTGACGCGTCAGGAACCTAAATAGATGCGTGAGGAGCCTAAGAAGATGTGTAAGGAGCCTAAACAGATGCATAAGGTGCTTCAGCAGTTGTGTAAGGAGCCTAAAAACAGTGATGTTTAGAGCCTAAATACTTGTGTAAGGAGCCTCAACAAATACGTAAAGAACTTATATGTGTGTGAGGAGCCTAAACATATGTGTAAAAAGAACACCAAAACAGATGTGTAAGGAATCTACATGTACGTAAGGAACCTATAAAAAAGGTTCAAGGAACGTTTAAGCGTGTACACTAAAACGCATCACGGAACGCAATGCGTTTTACAGCGGACCATAAACAAATTCACTCTTATTTTGTTCCGCTCTTGACTTCATACTCTTTTTTTTTTTTGGTTTTGTTTTTGTTTTGAGAGCTCACCTTATCTTCCTGGAGCCTCGTGGCCTTTCACTCTGGGTGGAGAAGGCACTGACCACACTCTCTATATCACTGGCGGAGTCCCCGTAGTCGCGCTCCTGGTCTCTCTCTGGAGAGATGAGTCCCCCTCGACCCCTCGAGTACCTGCTGGGAGACAAGGAGAATTTAGTGGAGGTACACTAAGAATACATGGGAGTACATGGAAAAGACAGGTAAAAGAAGGACTAGGAAATCCACACTAGAACTACCAGCTGAGAAAAGTTGTTTCCCCTGTATCTAGACGTTAGGTTAGGTAAGCTTTGTTAGGAAACAGGACAAGTGTTTCCTGACGCGGGTCTTAGTCATACGGTGACCCACAGCTGGAGCTTTTGGTCATGAGACCGAGGCCTTCCGCTGGCTTGCCCCTCCACCCCTCTCAAAATTATGGTTATTATTATAACTAATAATGTACCCAGATGAAGAGATGTCGTGTATTATATTGCGTGAGTCTAGGAGAGACATCTAGAAGAGACTAGAGAGGGTTGAGAGATTCATCTTAGAGCAATGATGCTTAGACAGAGGGAGAGAGAGTGCAGTGATGCTTAGAGAGAGAGGAGAGAGAGATGAGAGAGAGAGAGAGAGAGAGAGAGAGAGAGAGAGAGAGAGAGAGAGAGAGAGAGAGAGAGAGAGAGAGAGAGAGAGAGAGAGAAGAAAGCAGGTAGGTAGACTTGAAAGATTGTGTGTGGGAGGGAGGGGGAAGTGTGAGTGTGTTGGAGGGAGAAGTATAAGTGTGTTGAAGGGAGAAGTGTGAGTGTGGGGGGAGGGGGTAGGTGTGAGTGTATGATAGTAATTGTATAATTCTGTCCTCTCATACACACACACATCAGCTACCTGTCATAAACACACGTCACCCATCTATCATACACACACGCACACGTCACTCACCTGTTATATGCATATACGCCACCCACCTGTCATAAGCACATACACCTCTCATCTGCCATATACGCATACACCACCCACCTGTCATACGCACATATGCCACCCACTTGTTATACGCACGTAGCCACCCACCTGTCATACGCACATACGCCATCCACCTGTCATACGCACATACGCCACCCACTTGTCATACACACATACGCCACCCACCTGTCATACGCACATACGCCACCCACCTGTCATATGTGCGTAGCTCTGAGTCGGAGTAACCAGAATGAAGGTGCGCAGCGGGTCCAGAACTTCCCGCAGACCTGTACGCCTGCATCTGCCGCATCCGGAGCTTCACCTGCCGCGCGCGGTCCTCCAGTTCCTGCGGCCAGGCCAATACAGGTCAGGTAAGGTCACCAGAGGCCAGGCCAAGTCAACAAAGGTCACTAGGTCAATAGAAATCAGACCAGGCCAACAAATGGGTAACAGGTCACTTTAGGTTAATATAGGAGGGCTACAGTTCAGGTCAGATCAAAATTATGGGGTTACAGGTCAAAGTAAGGGGTTACAGGTCGAACAAGGTCAACAGGAACTGAGATCATGGTTTTTGGTATCAGGGTCAAGGTCACGAAAGACAGGGTAACATCACTTTGTTAAGAGGCGGTGAGAGGTCAAATTCCGAGGAACATTAATATGGATCAGTTCAGAAATATAATAATATAATGAAATTATTATTATTATTATTATTATTATTATTATTATTATTATTATTATTATTATATTATTATTGTTGTTATTATTATTATTATTATTATTATTATTATTATTATTATTATTATTATTATTATTATTATTATTATTATTATGAAATCTACGTCAGGGTCAATATTGGCCCATAAAGATACCAGGTCAAAACATTTCCAGGTCAAAGGTACTCTTGTCCTCTGATGTGACGAGAGTACAGCCTGAGTACTAAGGGATAAATGCTGCCTTTACAAATATTTGCAATGCGCATCTGTAAGCGAAACAGACACTAAAAACGAGAGGTAGTACAGGGGAGAGGGAGAGAGACAGGGAAAGAGATAGAGACAGGTAATCACACCCACACGCACACTCATCAGCTACACGACAAGGAGTGTTTTACCACTGCCAAGGGTCAGAACAGTGCCGTGGCGTCACGGGTGCCAAGGAGACAAGGGTGTAGTGACATCCACCCCCCGTCCTAACACATAACACGACGTCACTTGACGTCATAAGCGGCGAAGGAAGACCAACTTCACAACGACGCCACTGATAAGGAAAAAATAATGCGAGGGAGGCCACTCTAATTGACAAAAAAAATTCTGGTGTGACCAGAGAGAGAGAGAGAGAGAGAGAGAGAGAGAGAGAGACTAATTAACCACTTAAAGTGTACACCATGAGAACTCTTTGGTTCCACAACTTAACTGCCCTAAGTGGAACCCGCTTCCACTT